CCTTTGAAGATAAGAGTAAGTTAAAGATCTCTAGACAAGCTTCTTCTGGACTATGTGGATGGACCCTGAATGCCATTACCAGCATCCTTATAAAAGAGAGGTGAAAGGAGTTTATAGACCATCACACACAAAGGAGAAGGCTAAGTACGTGAAGATGGAGGCAGAGACGGGACAGATGCTTCCGCACTCCGTGGAACACCCCGGAATGCCAGCAGCTACCAGACGCTACAAAAGGCAAAGAATAGACTTCCCCAGTGCCTGCAGAGGAAGTGTGGCCCTGCTGACACCTTGATCACAGACATATGGCCCCCAGAACTGTCAGAAAACAAAACTTCGGTTACTTTGAAGCCATCAAGGTTGTGGATCCTAAACACTGGGCGATGGAACAGGAAAATGAAGAGAGGAAGGCACCCAGCGCTGCGCGAGGGACCAGCTGAGTGTCCAAAAGCTGAGGTCCGGACCAGCGTTACCCAGGCTTTGCCTTGCCCCTGGGAACAGAGTCCAGCCGCTCTGTCACGAAGCACACACAGCACATTGCTGGAAATCAGGTGCTGGGGCCAGGCCAGTGTTTGCCTTTTCCTCCATGTCTCCGCAAAGCGACTCAAAACCCTCTCTTCCCTCAGCAGGAAAAGCATATGTTCTTTCCATATAGAGGAGAAATTGTTCCACAAGTGAGTAAACCTCTTGGCCGCGGAGCCTGGCCCAGCCCTCACCGTGCTGGGCAGGAAGCGGGCAGCAGTCCTTACCACTCTGGGAACCAGACTAAACCTGGCTCCTGACCCTCGGGAACAGGGGCCTTCTGATGGGGTGGGGGGCAGTGGGGAGCAGGGGTCGGGATGTGCCTCAAGACGGTTAGCAGCTCAGCGTGGAGAATGCCGTCCCTGAATAGAAAAGCGCTTTTCTCTAGTCAGGCTGTGCTGGGAGGGGGACGCTAGGCGTTTCGCAGGGGCAGGGGACCTTTCCGATCGCCGCGCCCCATAGCCAGCAAACTGATCTGAATCAGAGGTGACTCAGGTGTGCGCAGTGAGGCCAGGCCATTTTTAGACTGTCCTTTCCAGCCACCCCCAACTTCTGCTTGATGCCTTCCAGGTTAGGTGGCGGGAGGTTGATCCCGTCCGCAGTGCCTTAGTCCATTTTGCCAGGGGCGCATGACTACACATCTTTCCAAAGCCAGCCCTGGGCTGGAGGACACCGCTCATTTCCTTGGTTCAGCTGAGCCCTGGATGGGGCGGCGAGGAAGTGGGGAGAGAAGGAAGGGATGGGGAGGCCAGGGCACTGGGGTGGGTGGCGGGGCAAAGGGGAATTGGAAAGGGTCTCCCTATAAGGAGAAAACATTGGAGAAATTGGGGACACTTAACCTGGAATGTCTAAGACTTGGGGTAGACATGAGAATCATGAAAATGATCTGAAGATGGTGACAGGTGACCATGTCAGATTGGTCCTGGATGGGAGCCCTGTGTGTATAAATCAGGGACCCCAACCCTCCGAGGAGTGCTTCTGAGACAGTGGATTCTCTGTCATTGGACACATCGGGCTGAGGGTAGATGGCCCCCAGTTGAAAGGGTTCAGGGGTCAGGTGGGAGGTAGACTAGAGCTTAGGTCTTAAACTGGTGGCCCGGGGGCTAGACACAGCCCTGAAGAGGTTCCCACTGGCCGGCATTTCTGCACGGCCACAGTCAGCTGGTGCTGAGTGTCACCTGCCCAGTCCACAGGGGGCATGTGCTCCCAGTTCTGCACGGTGCATCAGGCCTGGGTCACTCATCCATTTCCGGGATTGGCCCCTTAAGCGTTTATGTCTGTGAGCCTTGCAGCACAGGTCCTGAGCACAAGCACCCTTCTCCCTCTCTAGGTTCATCCTGTAGGCCCACTTGGGGAAGGAAAAGGTGGTACCTTCCCACGGGCTCAGGTGAGACCACGTGGGATGCAGATAGGGCTCCCATGTGGCTAGTGAGCATCACCACTGCACTCTCCTCTTCCCTGCTCCTCACGCTGCCGTGGTGCCGGGGTCTGCCATAGACTCTCGGGAGGCACCACCCAGGACAGCGTAGTCATTCACCTGGCTTTCCTGCCCTGGAGCAGAGGTAGCCACCCAGGAAGGACACCTAGGCAGGCGCCCTGAGAATTGAGACAAAAGGGGCAAAGTGAGAAAGTGCACTCCCCTCAGGACCAGGAGGGCGTGGGGAATGAAAGCCTACTTGAAGCCTATGTGACGGGGGCTGGGGGAAGGGGGCAGATTTCAGAGGGGCCTCACTTCCCTGGTCCCATCTGTTGCCACGATAGCTATGGGAGTTGGCACAAATATTCCCATTCTCTAGATGAGGAGACAGAGGCTGAAGTTGCCCAGGGGAGAGTTTAGCCACTAGGCGACAGCAGGGCTCCTGGATGTTTACCAAGTCTGCTTTCTGCTGCCCCAGGCCACCAGGAGTGGGTCTGCTGAGGGTGACAGAGCTGGTCACAAAGCAGCCACTTACAAAATCATCTTCCCTTTCTCCATCTTTTACCACCTCATGGAATAAACCCAATATTTGCAGACATCGACTCCAATTGTGTCAGGGCCCAGCGAGGCCAGGAATCTAGAAGGGTACCCAGAGGCAGCTCTTTATTTTTATTATGATCAGTAGTGGTGGGTGTTGTTTATGGGTCCCTACTGGGCACCCTGTGTATGAGATCTCAATCCTGCCCTCAGCCCATTTGATGGATGGGAACACTGAGCCTCTCAGAAGTGAAACTTCAAGCCAGGTCGGCCTGACTCTAAAGCTGGGGCTTTCTCTACAGCACTCCACATCTATGTTTTTTTGTTTGTTTGTTTGTTTGTTTGTTGTTGTTGTTTTTTAAAAGATTTTTATTGGGGAATTGGGGGATGGGAACAGTGCTGGGGGATTAGGGGAAGGGGAACAGACAAGTCGCTGTCGTTTTGGTCTTCAGTCTAGTTGTGGAGGACGTTGCTTCACTGGCCCAAGTTGGCACCATCATTGCGCTCTTCCCGGGTGAGGCAGATCAGTCGCCGGCTTCTGGACGGCCGCTCACGCTGGCTGCTGGCTACATACAGTAGCCCATGGCAACCCACTGCAGCAGGGGCTGCAGCCTACGCCGTCGCTGGCGACTCATGGCAGCCCAGCTCCAGGTTGAGCTGTTGTGCAGCATCTTAGCTGTGGAGGGCAGTGTCACTTGCCCTCATATGTGGGATCCGAACCGGGGCCCTCTGGCTCAGAGCTGGCGTCCCAATCCAGCTCTTACCAACGCGCCACTCGGACAGCCCAACATCTGTGTTTTTTATGTGACTGTGTTTTTCACAACACTGTAAAATGCTGTACGGGAAGCCTGTGAGTGGGGTCGGAGCCAACAGCACATGCTGCCCTCTGGGTCCTGGCCGTCACCTTGGCTTCTGTCTGGGAGGTGGAGTGGGTGTCCACCCCTCCCAGGTTTTCCTCCCCTGGGGCATTGAAGCACCACAGCCAGAAGCATGAAGTCAGGTTGTATTTCCTCTGGGAAGGCTTTTCCTTTGGGAACCCCAGTTCATCTCCTTTCAAGGAAGCCTGAGGCGGTGGGAAGAACCTTCCGGGAGTTGGAGGGCCTGGAGCACCACCTGGTGGCCAGTTGTAGCCAGACAAGGCAGCCGCATCCGGCCTCTTTGAAGAGTCCTAAAAATCATACAACAGCAGAGGGCTGGAGAGAACCCTGAGAGCAAGGAGGCACTGCCATTGAAAAGCAGTCAGAGTGAAAAGCACTCAACTTTGGGGTTTGACGGGCCTGGATTTGAACCCTTGTGTTCTCTGCCTTACCTTGAGTCCCTCACACCTGTGTCCTCTCTGCATGGCAGGCAGCGAAGGGAGACAGCAGGGGGCGAGGCTGGACCAGTGACAGGAGTCCGGCCTGGTGGCCCTCAGCCCTTAGGCCAGTGACAATCACTGGACACTGAAGCAGTGCTTCTCGAATCCTCATCCTGGGCCAGCAGTGTTTAGCATCAACGGGGAACTTGGTAGGAATTCAGATCCTGGGGTTGCACCCCAGACCAGCTGAATCAGAAACTCTGGGGGTGGGGGGGTAGACCCAGCACCCTCCAGGTGATGCTGATGTAAGGACAAGTGTGAAAACACTGCTTGGGTACTGGGGCTGCTCAGAAAGCACCTGAGTGGTTCCAATGTCCTTGAAACCCCAGCAATTCCTGTTTAGTGCAGCTGAAGTGAGACCCAGGCATGGGTTGAAACAACTCTGTAACTAATGAGCAGTTAATTTATTTGCTCAGACCCTTCTCCTTGCCTACTGCCTTCTTCCTTCAGAGGGTAGTATCTCACAGCAGAGTGATGCTGCTCTCCATGGGGTCCCCTGGACCCTCAGGTGGTCCAGAGACTAACCACTAGTTATCGACATTCGGTGGGTGCTTGAGCTGTGACAGGCGCTGTGATAGGGGCTTTGTATGCAACATCTCCTGAGAATCCTATGAATTGTTAGAATTCCCTGTTGTACAGATGCAGAAACGGAGGCACAGAGAGGTTAAGTAACTCACCGTATGTCACACAGCTACTAAAAGGGAGAACCAGGACTCTATCCTAGTTCCCTCTGACTCTGTGGAGTCCACTAGGTCTGCTTCCTTGTTTTACAAATAAGAGGAGGAATGACTCCCTGAAGGTCACCAGAGGTGGCACCCATCGCACTTGTGTACTTTTGCTTCAAATCTCACCATTGCCATAGCACCGCGAGATGGGATGAATGGACCTATGAGTTGGGTGCCACCCCCAAGAAATAAAAGCTGCATGCATACAAGCGACTGGGAAAGGGAGGCAGGGGCCGGCCTTATTCATTAAGTCACATGCCGCCTAGATTCCTGGAGCTGCTTCTTGGACCCGCAGGATTCCAGATATTAAGGAAATTGACACTTGTCCCCCCATCATGACTCAAGTCTTTGTCGCCCTCTCAGCCTCATGCAGACTGGGCCCAATCCCCCATTACCCAGCTCGGAGACAACAGCAGGAAACCCAAGGAGAGGACTGATAACGGAGTAGAGAAAATATAGAGCCGTTTTATTACTTAAGATACATTTTCCAAAAGCAAAGGAGTTGCCGTTCTGAATAACGAATGCCCGCGATCCCTGGGGGAAGGGGCTGAATAGAGCTGACGCTGCCAGGCGGGCAGCCCTCAGCGGGCTTGAGTTTTCCGGGAGATTTGATAAAGCTTCATTGCCGCTCTGGCATCTTCCACTGAGCTGTGTCCAGACCTGCTGTTCTGCAGACATAGGTAGAGAATGAGGACTTGGGGAGGCGCCGAATGCAGCCGCCCCATGGGGCCCCACCCTTCCCTGCTCACACCCCCACTTCCAGGGCCACAAGGCAGGTCAGAGGGTAAATTTCCCTGGTTCTCTGACACCCTGGACTCAGCAGGTGGCTGGAGCAGGCCTGGCTTCACCTGTTAGCTCTGGGGCCGGGACTCTAAGGCTCAGACGTGGCCAGGCACAGCACCCAGCATCATGACAGCCAGGCCGTGCCCTCAAGGTGCTTACAAACCAATGACAGATGAGGGCACTGCAGGCTGGCTCTCGGGCCAGAGGGCTGAAGCAGCTCTAACAGGGCACTCCTGGGCTCTGAGGAATGTGTTAAAAAGATGTCTCTAAAATGCTACTTGGGGCCAGCCGAGTGGTGCGTTGGTTAAGAACTGGCTTGGGACGCCAGAGGGCCCCGGTTCGGATCCCACATATGAGGGCCAGTGACACTGCCCTCTACAGCTAAGATGCTGAACAACAGCTCAACCTGGAGCTGGGCTGCCGCGACGGCGTAGGCTGCAGCCCCTGCTGCAGTGGGTTGCCATGGGCTATGGTGTGTAGCCAGCAGCCGCCGTGAGCGGTTGTCCAGAAGCCAGCGACTGATGTGCCTCGCCCGGGAAGAGCGCAATGATGGTGCCAACTTGGGCCAGTGAAGCAACGTCCTCCACAACTAGACTGAAGACCAAAACGACAGCAACTTGTCTGTTCCCCTTCCCTCCATTCCCCAGCACTGTTCCCATCCCCCCAGTTCCCCAATAAAATCTTTTAAAAAATAAATAAATAAATAAAATAAAATGCTACTTGGCTCACTACATTGAGAAGGTGTTATTCAGTGACTCGATGTGCTGGCCATTCTGACCTTGATCCTGTGTACCTCAAGGCTAACAGAGGGGCCCAAACTCAAGCCCACCCACCCCCTGCTTCCCATGTGATCCCTGCTCCCCAGCCAAGCAGGCTGGGGCTCGTGAAGCCCCCCGCCACACACACACCTCTCTCCTGCCCTCCTCCACTAACACTCACCCTTCCAACTCCACTCAGACCTGGACCTGCCATCCATCCTTCATCCCTGCTCCCAGGACACCTGCCCATCCCTCCATCAGACACTCCCCACAGCGTGTGCTGATGATGAGCTACCCTCCCCAGAAACAAGAGTTCCTCAGGGTCAGGGCCTTGGTCACCTGGTGTCCCCAGCATCTGGTCTAGCCTGGCTCAGAGTAGGTGGGTAATAAATATCAGTTGACCTGGAAACCCTATCGGAGACACTGCCCCTCTCACGAGCGCATAGCCGCTCAGGACTAGGGGGACACAGTGCATGCTTAGGGCCAAATATTTACCCTGGAGCCACTTGAGCAGCAAGGAGTCAGGGGGTCAGAGTCTTGGAGGGAAGGGCCAGGCCCCCAGAGCAGACCCTCCTAGCGATGCCACTCATGGGCTTCTCTGGGACCAGCTTTTTGGTCCCCAGCCTGAGAAGGGAGGGCGGTCCTCACCTGGATATGCCACCCCAGGAGGCGCTCGCTGAGCACGCGGAGGGAGACACGCCTGCAGTTGGACAGGTTGGCCTTACGCCACAGCAGCCTGTCGGTGGCCGTGTCGTAGATGTTGTAGGCACTCATGTTCTCTTTCAGCGCGTCAAAGTCGTGCTTCAGGTCATGGCCCACCACCAGCTTGCCTCTCAGGAGCTGCAGGATCTGAACAGGAAGACAGGTGCCCCACACATTACCCAGTTCCTCGGGTGGGTCTGGGGCAAGTTGGTGCTGTCATGGGGCTGGCAGGGAGCAGCCCCTCCTCGACTTGCTGTGTGACCTTGGGCAAATCACCATCCCTCTCTGAGCTTCACACATATCATCCACAAAATGAGAACATGGGACCAAGTCCCTCCTCACACTTAATATATAGTTTAGGCCCATCTTGAGTCCTTCAGTGGTTTCAATGCAGAATAGCCATATGTGAGATAATAGAAACATAAATACTGCTGTCTGCCTCACCCCTCTCCCCGCTCCTTCCTGACACAGAGCTCCTGAAATGCTTGGAATTTCTGGGGTGATAGGAGTGTCTTTTGTTCTAATGAGGCGATTCAGGTGGGCTAGTCCATAGGTGCTCGCCACTGGAAAAACCAAGCCAAAATTAGAAGCTTGGAATTTTCAGTCCCGCCTCCCATTCTCGCGAGAAGGGGGACGGGCTGAAAATAGAGCTAACGATCGATCGTGCCTACACGATGGAACCCCCATAAAATCCCAAAAGTACAGGGTTCGGAGAGCTTCTGGGTTAGTGAACCCCCAAGTGGAGGTGCTGGGAGAGTGGCACCCGGATAGGGCATGGAAGCTCCCCACCGCTCCCCACATACCTTGCTGTAGGCCTGCCTTCCACCTGTATCGTTTAATAAACGGGCAAATGTGTTTCCCCGAGTTCTGTGAGCTGCTCTAGCAAATTAATCAACCCCGAAGAGGGGGGCTTTGGAACCCCTGATCTATAGCAGATTGGTCAGGACCACAGGTCACCACCTGGGCTTCCGACTGGTTTCTGAAGTGTGTGTGTGTGTGTGTGTGTGTGTGTGTGTGTGTGTGTGTGTGTGGCAGTCTTGTGGGGCTGAGCCCTTAGTCTCCAGGTAGAAAGTGTCAGAATTCAACTGAATGACAGGACACTCAGCTGGTGTCTGAGAATTACTCACTGGTGAGGGAAAGGCCTACTACACACAATTGGTGACCACAAGTGTCAGAAGTGAAGTGTCTGTACAAGTAAAGGGGACACACAGGAAAGAAAGACATAGGAGGGAAGAATGGGTTTTTTTTTTGTACGTAGGAAGGAAAAAAAAATCGAGCTTTTCCTTTACACAACGGCTAGCGCCTAACTGAGCGTGTCCCATGTGCCAGATGCTCATCTAAGTACGTCACACATACTATGTCATTTAATCCTTTCAACAGCCCTACTGTGGCATGCAGAGTAATGACCTCCCAAAGATGCCCATGTCCTAATCCCCAGAATTTGCGAACATGTTCTCTGGCCCACGGGAAATTAAAGCTGCAGGTGGGCTATTTAGGTTGCTAATCTTTTGCCCTTAAAACAGGGAGATTTTCTGGATTACCCAGGTGGGCCCAACATAAACACAAGAGTCCTTCTATGTGGATGTCAGAGCGATGTGATGTGAGAACTTGACACATGACTGTTGGCTTTGAAGAAGGAGGAAGTGGCCACGAGGCAGGAAGGAGGGTGGGCGAGGACACGGATTGTCCCACAGAGCGTCCACGAGGGACGCAGCCCTGCCCACACGTGACTGCAGCCCAGGGAGACCCAGGTCGGACTTCTGAACCACAGAACTGTGCGACGATAAATTAGCATGGCTTTATAAACCATTACATTTACGATTTTGGTACAGAAGCCACAGACAACTAACACAGCTGTGAGGGAAGGCTGTCCGTATTTCACTGAATTTTGCAAACGAAGCAACCGGAGCACCAAGAAGTGAAGTCATTTGCCCAAGGTTACTCTGATGATTTTAAAGAGAAGTTTGCAGGTTTCTTGAGGCTCCTCTCACAATAGATGGAGTCTGATAGGCTGGCCTGTGCGACTTCTGATGTCTCTGTGAGGCCAGTACCCCTGGATCCCTGAGCCACCCCAAAGCCACCTTACTGGACAGTGCACGTGGAGATAAGAGAGACGGGCCTGAGGAGCCCCAGTGCCGGACACCAGACAGGTGGTTGAGTGAACCTCCTGGTGATTCCAGCTGCCGGCCTGCACGATGGATGCCTCAGCTGACCAGCAGGAGCGTGGGTGAAATGAATATTGACATCTGTTTGAACCTCTAGGTTTTGGGGTGACTTGCTAGGCTAGCTGGGACAGTCGGACGGCCCGTAGGAGAGCCAGCCTTCTAAGCCAGCGGGGCTGGCTCCAGTGCTGCGTGTCACCGCCACACTTCGCAGAAAGAGCAGGCCTGCTCTGTGCCTGCCAGCCTAGTGGCCATGTCCCCAGCCCGGTGCCCTACGTGGGTGCCCAAGCCTCCCCTTTCGCCTCCATTCTTGCCTCCTCTCCCACGGGGGCCTCACAGAGAGCCTGCTTCTGGCCACACAGGCCAGTCCCCTTTCTTTACCTTCTGCCATTAGAGAGGGTGGGGAGAGGGACCTGGAATAGACCAGGCCCCGGCTGCAGGGGCCGCTCATGGCTATCTCAGGCTCCCGCTTTGGACAGCTCTGTCAGCCCCCCTGTCTTCCTCTGTGCATAGCCAAGGACCATAGTCTCTGTGGCTCAGGGAGGAACCTTCTGGATGGCGAACACCCTCCCGCATCCTGCTTCTGTCTCTAGTGGCTCCCTGCGACTTCATGCAGGGCCTTCAATATGCTCTCCTTGGGAAACCACAGGGCCATCATGGCCACTTGACAGAACAGAAAGCTGATGCTCAGCGAGGTGAGGTGATGTGTGCACGGTCACAGCCCTGGAGGCAGGGTCTGTCCGTCCATCAACAGGCAATGTCATCGGGGCTTCCTCTGGACAGAGAAGGCTCATGAGACACCAGTGCTTCTCACACCGGGGTTCAGGAACCACCTGGGGAATGTCCCCGAAGTCTGGGTTCTGGATTCCTAACAGGTGGTGCTGATGCAGCTGGTCCAGCGTCCCCCTGAGTGGTGGGGGCCCAGGACCTCAGAGCAGTGGCTCAAGGGGGATCCTTTGAGTGGAAGAAGGGGCAGGCACTGGCCAGCGCTCAGGGAGGGGGAAATACAGGCGTGGGGGATGGGGGATGTACCTGCGGCTTGGTCGTGTGCCTTCTCTTGCCAACATCCTTTGTGTCTGAACCATGTGGCCCGTTTTCCCCAGCGAGGAGCTGGCTCAGGCCTAGCTCACCGACAGCCCTGAGGGAACCCTCTGCCATTCTAGAGACAGCCGCTGTGGTCCCAGACGTAAGAGGGCCAAGTCGTCATCATCGTGGGGTGGACTGCAGGGAAACTCATCACTTCCCGAGCCCAGGGGTCCCTTGGGGAAGGGGCTACATTTAGCACCCCAGGACTCATCACAAGACAAATAGAACAGGAGGGGGTGGAGACGCAAAAAAAGAAGAGGAAGTAGGGAAAAGAGGAGAAGGGTCTGTTTAGCGGAGAGATGCCTGCAACCCTTGAGGGCAAACATGTCAGGGCATGGCCAGGGAGAGATCCCTGGGACTGCCTGTGTGGTCTCAGGGAGGTTAAAGGCTGACTCTGGCTTCAGTTCCACTTTTCTAAGATGACGGCTTGGAGGGGTGAGGCAACCAGGGCTTCACTGGCTTTCTGAGGCAGGGCTGGGGAGGGGGGACCTGCTCAAGCCCAGGGAGGACGGGGGAGGCAACATGGCGTTGGTGGGACCTCAAGACTGTGTGGCCTGCTGGCTGTTGGACTTCAGTCAGCCCTGCTCTGAGTAGGCATCACGAGGCAAGTGTGTCAAACGCAAGAGATGGAGACCCTCAACATCCTGGAAAGAACTGGAGAGGGCAGAGGGCAAGGGACATTTATCTGTCTGCCTTCATCATGCTGGTACTGGGCCAGGTGCTTTCCTCACCTCATTATGACTCAACAAGCGTATTCTCAGTTCCATTTGACAGAGGAAGGGGCTGGGGACCAGAGAGGTTAGAGGGCGTGTCCAGGTCACACAGCTGGTGAGTTGAGCGCAGAGATACGGTGTGTGGGTCCACCCGACCCAGTCACTGTTGTCGTTGTTATCACCAGCACCTACTGAGAACCTAGCAGCTATAAGTAGCATTATTAATTTCAGATCAGAGAGCACCGCTGGGCCCCCTCAGAACTCAGTCAACGTTTCTTGACCCGGGAATACAGCCCCTAGAAGGTGGGCCCAACAGAATCACATTCATACCATCCTACCAACAGGAAAAGGGGCCACAGAGCGGTGTGTGCCCACGTCACACAGCAGGGAGTGACAGACTGAGGTGCAGGCGTCTGCCGGTCTACTCTTCCCACTGTATTTCACTCTAGTTCCAAGGATTTCCTAGATGTGCCTCATCAAAATGTCACCTGAGGCCCTCGTTAAAAATCCAGACCGACCGAAGCAGAATCACCAGGGGAGGGGCGTTCGCCAGGGTTCCAGGGTATTCTCTGCATCTGATGAGCTTTGAAATCTCTGCACCGAAGCCTGTTGAGCAGCTTAGGGCTTGTTGCTTCCATCACGCATCCATCCATCCATCCATCCATCCATCCATCCATCCATCCTTCCATCCATCCATCCATCCATCCATCCATCCATCCTTCCATCCATCCATCCATCCATCCATCCATCCAACCTTTCTTTAGTTTATGTATCCATTCATTCATTCCTGGCTGTCAGGAAAGGTGGCTAGAAAGGAGTCTAAAGAATGTCCTTGCGGAGCCCCAGGTCCCTTGCTGTCGTATTCAGCAGTGGCCCCGGTCCGCCTCTGTCCTGTCCCCTGCTCCTAGCTTGTCTGCTTCCCACAAGGCAGCTCACCCTGGGGAAACCTGGATGATGAAGCCATCCTTCTCCACCTGGCTGAGCCCCAGAGACACCTACCTGGAGGCGCAGACCCGTAAGGTTCTCCATCCGAGACAAGGGCTGCTGCGCTGGTTACAGATGGAATAGCTCCCTGTGCACAAGCTACGCTGGCCTCCCTCTGTCTGTGTCTCCCTTTAAGCCACGATGCTTCATGGCATTCAGTGTCCTTGTTTGCAAACTAAAAATGCAGTTGCCCTCCCAATCTGACTATTGTGGGGCAGATGCTGTTCACCATACTTGTTAACGTCCAAAGAGCATTAAAGCTACAGAAGTGAGTTGCAAGTTATTCAAAATTACTGTTAGAAAAAAAAATAAAATAAAAAAGAAGAGCACTAACCTGCCAGGTGAGAGCCCTGAATCTGAACACTAAGTTGTGTGCCAGGTTGCTGTGTGTCCTTAGGCAAGTCGCTGCCCCTCTCTGGACCTCAGTCTCCTCATTGTGCTGACAGTTTGACATGCGGGCTCTCTATAGACCAGAGTTTCTCAGCCTTGGCACTCCTGATACTTCCTTGATGTGTGTGTGGTTGGGGGGAGTGGCTTTCCTGTACTTTGTAGAATGTTTAGCACTATGCCTGGCCCCCTCCCCACTTATGGCAACCAGAAGTGTCTCCAGATATTGCTAAATGTCCCTTGGGGGGCAAAATGCTCCCCACGTGGAGAACCACCGCTCTAGGTGATGATCAGACCCAGAGGTGTCAGAAGGTAACAGGCAATTACTTTATATTATAAAAGTGATGGAAGCACATTACAAAAAATAGAAACGAGAGAAGGGGTATAGGGGGGCCACTTGCTATCTCAGTGCCCCATGGCAGTAGCGCTTCTGGGTGGACTCAGGGTTCAGTGGCTCCCCAGAGCCCTCCTGGCTGCATGGGCTGGTCTTCACCACAGGCGGGGCCCACTCACCATTCCCATGGGAGGAAGAGACAGGTTGGTGGGTGGCCTGGTGCGTTCTAGACTCACCTAAGTGTCACCTGGCCTTGCAGGGTCTGATAAATGGCTGAGAGGCTTCTGCCCTTTGGGGGCCCCCAGCATTTCTTGGGGCCCATGAGCCTGGTCTCTCTCTGTCTTTGGGATGAAAACACTAGGGGTGATGAGTGGGATCACGCTGCCTCAGTGTCCTTGTTCCTGAAAACAAATGACAGCCATTTGCTCAGCCTTGTGCCTCAGTTTGCTTATCTGTAAAATGGAGTGATGATAGTAGTGAACTACCTCCCCGCCTTGTGGAGGGGACTAAGGTAATGGTGCGTGAAAATGCATGAAAAGTGCTTAGAATAGCATGGTACTATTCTAAGCGCCTGGCCATGGTGCTGTGCTTTTGCCATCACCCCTGTTGTGCAGAGAGGGTCCTCCTGAAGGGTCCAGAGAGGTTTAGCCACAAGCTGGAGGACACAGCTGTCAAGAGACAGAGCTGGGTAGGACCCACGTCCAGCTCAAAGACAGTGTGTGCGTGCTCACGCCCCTGCGCTGTGTGTGTGACTGGATCATAAAGGCCTCCTCTGGCCTGGGCTCTGCACACTGGTAGCATTTCTAGGGGCAGGGAGGGTGGGAGTTTGGCTGAAGCACAGGGAAGTGATGGCTGCGCTGTGAGAGAAGGCAGGAAAGGTAGATAGGTCTGGACTTGGAAGGCTGTGAATGATAGGCTCAGGGCACCTTAGGCCATGGGGAGCCATGGGAGGTATTTGAACAGGGACCCGGGGGGCTGTGATGTGAGCCAGGCTCAGGGAAGTTTCTCTGGTCGCAGGGTAGGAGGGACTGGCAGCAAGCAGGCAGAACCGAGAGCCGGAGTCTCGGGTGGAGTCAGAGAAGGGACTCCGACATATCATCAGGGTTTATGCTCTTCTCTTCCCGCGGGCGTGTTAGTGACTGTTAGCCATGAAGCAGGCATTGTGCTTTGAGCTACAGGCTGTGCCGCTGCACCCAACCTATACAAGGGCAGGGAGGAGGCAGCGATTCTCCCCTTTCGCTGGTGAGGAAACAGGCTCAGAAAGGGTCTCCAGCTTGCCGAAGGTCACACAGACCAGCAAGTGGCGGAACGGGAAGTATGCACCCCAGATGTGGCTCCAAAGGCCTTCCCTGCCTCACTCCTTAAATGGCTAAGTGCCTACTCCGGGCAGGACTCCATGCCACGCACGAGAGGCGCTGGGCCTGGACACTGCTAGGTGAGAAATAGAAACTTCCACACCACGTCTGGACAAGGACTGAGGTGTCCTGACTCTCAGGCCAGTGCCAAGGCGTCCAGGCAATTGCCTGGAGACATGAGAAGTGTTTCTCTGCTGCCTCGTGTCCCCCAGCTCCAGGCTCTTCTGCCTTTTTTTTGCCACTGTCCCGAGGGGTTCTGAATCTTCTCCCCACGGTCACCTCTTTCTCACTCCCATTTCTCCTCCACAGCACCCCCTATTCCAGTTTTCATGGCTTTGATCCTGCCATGCTGTTGCTCAAGAATCTTCAGTGGCTCCCTGTGGCCCACAGAGCTGCATACACAGACTCTTCCTACCTCTTGCAAATACCTCCAGCCTCATGGGGGTCTTTCCAGAACCACCGTGATGCCCTGTGCCCCCTCCCCAGGGCTCCCCAGTATCCTCTCATATTTCTATGCTGTCCAATAGAAACATCACTTAGAGCCACACAAGTCATTTTCAACCTCTAACAGCCGTATTGTAAAAGGTGAAAATAGGTTAAATTAGTCATAATATGGTTTATTTAACCGAACATATCCAAAATATTACCATTTCAACATGGAGTCGATCCAAAAATTAGAGGTATTTTATGATTTATTAAGTACAAGTCTTTCAAATCTAGTGTGTGCTTTATGCTTACAGCACGCTGCAGTCCGGACCAGCCACTTTTCAAGTGTTCCTCAGCTACACCCTACTGGGCAAACAGCTCTAGAGGTGTTGAGCCTGAGTTGAAATCCTGACCAGCCAGCCCTTCCCCATCCTGTTATCTGAACTTGGGCAAGTTACTTAGTGTCCTGGGCTGAATTGTGTCCTCCACCCCCATGCCCACAAAGTCCATTTGTTGAAATCCTAACCCCTTTAGTTCCTCAAAATGTGACTTATTTGGAAAGCGGGTCTTTGCAGATGTAATTAGTTAAGATGCGGTCCTATCGGAGTAGCGGGGAGGCCCCTAATCCAAATGACTGGTGTCTTCATCAAAAGGGGAAATTTGGGCACAGGGACACACACACACACACACACACACACACACACACACACAGGTAGAATGCCACGGGACCATGAAGGCAGAGATCGGGGTGATGCTTCTACAAGCCAAGGACCACCAAAGAACGCCAGCAGCCACCAGAAGCTAGGAGAGAGGCAAGGAACAGACTCACCCTTAGCCCTCAGAAGGGACCAACCCAGCTGACACCTTGATCACACACTTGTGGTCTCCAGAACTGGGAGACAATACACCTCTCTGGTTTAAGCCACCTAGTTTGCAGTCCTGTATTACGGTGGCCACAGCAAACCCATGCACTTAGTTCAGGCGAGCCTCGGTTTCCTCATCTGTATGATGGGATCACAGGGCAAACAATCATGGTTGCTCACATCTTTTGAGTACTGCCATGGGCACCGTCTCTAGGCGCTGTCTCAGGCCTCACAATAATCCCATGGAATTGCTACTGAGAAACTGGGTACAGAGAGGTGGAGTAGCTTGCCCAAGGTAACTGAGCTGGTAAGGAACCAGTCGGGATGCAAACCTGGGTTAGCTCCTGAGGACCGTCCTGACAGGCTGTGCGAGTGCCAGGGGGGCGTCCAGCCAGTGCTCAGTAAATAATAGCTATCCGGGGCGGCCGGTTAGCTCAGGTGGTGAGAGCGCAGCGCTCATAACACCAAGGTTGCCGGTTCGATCCCCACATGGGCCACAGAGATGCGCCCTCCACAACTAGATTGAAACTACTACTTGACTTGGAGCTGATGGGTCCTGGAAAAACACACTGTTCCCCAATAAAAAAATAAATCTTTAAATAATAATAATAATAATAATAATAATAATAATAATAATAGCTATTGTTGTGGCTTTATCTCTAGTACCTGGAGCCTGGCAGACATGCAGTTTGGGGAGTTGAGATGAATCCCAAATCTGTGTTCTTCTTGTACTTCTCCAAGCCCCCCCAGGCTAGAAACCGGTGAGTTTGCTTGCCCTTCTAAATCTTCTCAGAAGTGACTGATAACCTGAGGGCCACCTTGAGAGTGGCTGAGTTTGCTTTCCATTTGGTAATTCAGAGAAACAGAAAGTTAAACTAGAGAAGAGACCACAACAGCCTCAAGGGGTAAGGGGTGGGGGTGGCGGAATCTTGGGACCTCAGACTGATGGATGGCCTGGGATCTGGGTCTGGGATCAAGCCCCCCCCTTAGCCCAGAGGCCCCCGGTTGGTTCCCAAGGACCAGGAGGGACTCTTGCCAAGGGCCCAGCCAGTAAAGGCCTCTGCCCAGGACGCTTCCCCACAGGGCTCACCAGTGACAGCCTGGGGTAGAGGAGAGAATGGGGAACCCATCTGTCAAATCAGTTGTGGGGAACGTCAGGTGGGACCTCTGTTTCCCCATCACAAGACCAGCAAAGGGGACTAGCTTCCCTGATGGCAGCAAGCCTTCTCAGGGATGTGATGGAGACACCCTGGTGCTCCCTACACAGGGGTGGCAGGGAATCTCACACTGCTGGGGACACAGGTGATAGATCTGGCACCCGGGGAAGGCCCCAGGGAAGTGTGTTATGTGTGTGTGTGTGTGTGTGTGTGTGTGTGTGTGTGTATGTCCGCAGCCCCCCTTGGCCTGGCTGGCATATGATTCTTCACTCACCTCCATCCTGGCCACAGCGAAGGGTGTGGCCTCCTCCATGTGCTGAGGTGTGATCCCGCTGACTCGGGTTCTGTAATTAGTGATCTCCCCTTCGGGCCGGATGAACTTGTCATAGAGCACGTCGCCATTGACGTCCACGAGGCTGCACCGCGCCAAGCCGCTCTTCTGGAGGAGCCCCACCCCCACCATCTCGCAGTCCATGGCCACCACCTCCATGCTACTTGCCATGTTTTGCTGGGACCCTCAGATGTGCTGGAGAGCAGGTGGTAGGAAGGGAATCACTCCAGGGCTAACTGAGGCCCCAGGCGTCTTCAGCTACCGCCCCGCCAGCCTGTACCCTCTGCCCTGCCCTTTATCACAGATGCCACCTGGCAAAGGGAAGTTAGCCTCTTGCCACCCTAGCCAGCTTCCCAGCCTGGCGGTTCCCGCCTGGCAGCCTCAGGACCTGGGGGATTGAACCTGTCATCCCACCCTCACCTGCTGGCTCCCATCCTCACCTGTCTGCTTCCTGCGCACAGGGCTCACACCTGCCTCTCGCCTCTCGGTGCTACTTATCAGCTACTGCAGTTCCTCTGAGCACTGACTCATCTCTGACTTCAAGCGGGGAATCCTGACTGTTTCAGTTTCAGGTTCTTCGTTTTCAAGTGAAGTCAGGGGCAGGAAGCCGTCACGTGGGCTGGCTGCTCTATCTCTTTGCCCTGCCGGCAGATGAGGAAGCTCGGTGACCTGAGTCAGGACTGACAAAGCTGGCATGTAACATGTTTGGCTGTCCCCCTCCGTGGCCCCTGTCCTCCACCTAATCGCTCAGATGACGCTGCTGACGTGGATGGAGTGGATTGCAACATCTTTTCATTCCTTTCTCACCCTCCGCCTGTAAAAGAAACATCCCCAGATTGGAGCCTGGGGAATGTCCCTCGGCTTCTGGGCCACTACCAACCTCACACCCCGAAGTTTGTGTTTTTTTTTTTAAAGATTTTTATTGGGGTATTGGGGGGAAGGGAACAGTGCTGGGGAATTGGGGGAAGGGGAACAGACAAGTTTTGTTCTTCAGTCTAGTTGTGGAGGACGTTGCTTCACTGGCCCAAGTTGGCACCATCATTGCGCTCTTCCCGGGCGAGGCAGATCAGTCGCCGGCTTCTGGACGGCTGCTCACTGCGGCGGCTGCTGGCCACTCACGCTGGCTACTGACTACACACGGTAGCCCAAGGCAACCCACTGCCACAGGGGCTGCAGCCTACGCCATCGCCGGCGACTCACGGCAGCCCAGCTTCAGGTTGAGCTGTTGTTCAGCATCTTAGCTGTGGAGGGCAGTGTCACTGGCCCTCATATGTGGGATCCGAACCTGGGCCCTCTGGCGTCCCAAGCCAGCTCTTAACCATCGCGCCACTTGGCCAGCCCCCGAGGTTTTTTATGGGGCAAAGGGAGCTGGCTCTTGGGACATTGAGGCTATTAATTGGGAAGGGCAGAAGGTTGAGGTGCGAGGGGCACTAGCCCCCACCCCAGCTCAGGCAAGGCAAAGAAGCAGTGCGGGGGCCCTTACAGTCTCCACTGGTTCAGGGTGCCTCAGAGACAGCGACCTGTCAGTCCTGAGTGGGCTGTCTCCAGCTGGGCTGACACTGTTTCGGGAAAGGACAAGCAAGCCTGGACGGACCCCCCCACCAGCCTGGCCGTATTTCCTATTTGGTTACTCCCTCCCTCTTAGAACAGTGCCTGGCAGAAAAGGAGCATTCAACATTTGAATGAGTTACAACTGGGGCAAAAACAGAATCAGCTTCCAATGAGGAAATCGTCCATTGTGCACTGTGGTGAGATTCAGTTATGAGTTGAGAACCCCATCTTGCCTCCGACCCCGGGTCCATTTAGAATAAGCGCTGAGCCGTGGGGTCTGCTTGTCCCCAGCGGTCACAAAGATTTGAGGCGTGGAAGGGAATTTCCCAAGGTCCGGGGTGTTTCACCAAGAGACGTCCAACTCCGACAGCCAACTTTAACAGACCTCGGAAATAAAACCGGACACTGAGACATGTCTCAACGGTGAGGCATCGTGTCTGTGTGTTGTTTAGTTGGTTCAAGTTGGAGGTATGAGCTTGTTTTTGGTTCCCATCGGGAGTGAGCAACTTTTGATTTAATTCAGACGCTTTGGGGACTTCCTGTTTCTCAAATGCATAAGTGATAGTTACCCCTGATTTAGGGGGAGATGAGGCAGAATATCCATTACTTGATGTGAATGTGCATTGAAAAAGTAACCTCCTGAAGCCCCATCCGGTTGGAGCTGTTGCTATCATCCCTGCAGGACCCCTCACACACATCAGCGTCCCCGCTGTAGGTCGCCCCTCCAATTCTTGTCCCCATGGGCCCTGAGCCTGCTCTGTGGTGGGCTCCAAACATACATATTTTAAGTTTTCCCTGCTCTTCTCCTTAGCTTCGCGCCTGTCCCGGTCGGCTCCCCGTCTTCCTCCCACCTCCATCTTCATGCCCCTCTCAAAACTGTCCTTGAAAGTCTAACAGATTGCTTCCCAAAACCTAATCTCTTGAATTATTTGTCACATCTCTTTGCTCAAGAACCTAGTGATTTCCTGTTGTCAAAAAAAACCCCAAAAAACTAACCTCACTTCCTGTGCAGTTTCCAAGACCCTTTTTTTATCTGTCCCACCGGACTTTGCAATCCCATCCTAAATTCAAGACCTCTGTATATTCACATGGTGACTCCTCTCAAACCATCCCTGCCTCCTTCACAGTGACGGGTCATTCCTTAATTCATATTCACTGAGTGCTGGGCTCCGCGGCTCCAGGGACAGGAATCAGGTTCCCTGCCTTCAGGTAGAAGTGACAGGGTTTGGATTCCAGCTCAGCTGTCTCCAACCTCTACTGGGCATGTACTACTAAAATGTGTATGTGAATTTCTAAATTATTTATGGCAGGTGGCACTATCTCAAACAGTGGATTATCAGCCATTTCACATGGCTCAACTCAATACTATGTAGAACCGTGCTGATGGAATCCGTTTCAAAAACAGAGAAAAAAGTTAAAAATATGTTCCAATAACCAGGTGCAGATGCTCAACATCACTAATCTAAAGGGAAATGCCAAGTTAAACCCACAAGGAGATACCCCCTCATACCCATTAGGATGCCTATCCAACTCCCCCCCCCCAAATATCTAGTGTTGGTGAGGATGGTAAGAAGATGGAAGGAACCCTTATGGGGTGCTGGTGGGAATGTAAAATGGTGCAGCCACTGTGGAAAATGGTAGAGCAGTTTCTCAAAAAAAAACAGAATTACCATGATACAGCAATTCCACTTCTGGGTATCCAGTTCTCCCTCCCCCCCTTATTCTGGGAGACACGTTCTAAGACCCCCAGTGGGTGCCTGAAGCCGTGGATAGTACGGAGCCCTCCTGCACGTCCTCATCGGCAGACGCAGCATCTGCAGTCATCTTTACATTTTTCAGTCCAAACCTGTTCCTGGATCTCTGTAACCACCCTTTACTTGCAGTAAATGGCCTGGTGTCACTTGTCTCAGGGGGTCCCTTGCTGAAGTCCTCGTATAAGCTCAACACTTACTGGCACATCACGTGGCCGTCAATGGTGACAGGTTTTCTGTTCGTCTTCCACCCACAAATTTAATGCCCTTCCCATCTTCACTAACACTTACCATGCACTGGCTGTAACTGTTCCAGTTGGAGGTGTGACAGCACAACTAGCGTGGATTTCTTTTTCCGTTTTTACAATTTGCAAGATTGGATCAAAGATTCATTCTTACCATAGATCTTAGCAACCTCACTATGCCATTTTTTTCCTTTCCCTATTAAGTTCAGAACTTGTACCTTTTCACTTGAAAGGAAGCACTTTATGCCTTCTGTCTGGCTTGTCTGAATTGCCAGCATCACTGCTCTTGTGCTTTGGGGTCATTTTAAGTAAAATCAGGATTATTTGATCGTGAAAACTGCATACAGTGAGTTGATGTGATAACTGAGCCGGCTACCACATGACTGAGGGGGTGAGGAGTGTCCACAGGGTGGAGATGCTGGACAGAGGGGTGAGTTATGTGCCAGGTGGGATGGTGCAAGCCAGCGTGAGATTTCGTCCCATTACTCAGAATGGTGTGCAACTTAAAACTTATGAATTATTTCTGGAATTTTCTATTTAATATTTTCGGACTGCAGTTGACTGTGGACAAATGAAACTGTGGCATAATGGGGAACTTACCCCAAAGCATTGAAAACAGGGTCTGAAAGAGATATATGCACACCCATGTTCACTGCAGCATTATTCACAATAGCCAAGAGGGGGAAGCCACCCCTAGAGTCCACCAAGGGATGAACGGATAAACCAAATGTGGCGTACCCACCCAAATGAGTATTATTCAGGCTGAAAAAGGAAATTCTGAAACATAACTACATGGATGAACTTTGAGGACATTATGCTAAGTGAAATAAGGCTGTCACAAAAAAACAAATACTATAGGATTCCACTTATATGAGGTATCTAGTCAAATTCACAGAAACAGAAAGTAGAATGGTGGTCACCAGGGGCTGGCGGGAGCAGAGAATGGGAGTTATTGTTTAATAAGTATAGAGTTTCAGTCTTGCAAGATGAAAAAGCTCTGGGGGGCAATGTGAATGTACTTAACCCTACTGAACTCTACAGTTAAAAATGGTTAAGATGAGAAATTTTGCTGTGTATTTTACAATTAAAACTAAAAAAAAATGTTAAGATTAAAAAAAGACTGCATAGCTTTAGGGAAAAACAAGTTAAATAATCGTGTGCTCTATAATAGGGCCGTTATGAAAATTTAAAAATAAACTATATAAATTCTGTAGCTCTAGTATTTTCTCGCCATCTCTTAAAGCATCGTCTTGAAAGCTGCCCACATCAAAGGACAAAGCACCCAGCAAGACTGAGTCCCAGCACCCCCATCCCGCCACCAAACCACCCTCCCATGCGAGCTTGGGGAGTCACAGAAAAGGCTCCCGTTCGCAATTGAGTTTTATTCCAGAACAGTTTTAAAACGCTGATTTAAAACCCAGTACATTTCTGGAACACGAGTAACAACTCCATCTTCCTTCAACCCACAGGCAAAGGAACTGAAGCTACTACTCAGCTGACTTTGGCGTCAGCTGCACATTTCTAAGGAATCCAGAACAGAGTCCTGGGCCCGGGCCAGCAGTGGTCAGTGACTCAGCCAGTTCCCAACTCTGCACAAGGGGACAGAGCTGGTGACACAACAACCTATGGCCCCGAGCTGGAAGTAGTGTGGTTTCAGTGGTGTCTCTCCCTTCCTGGCCCTGCTGTTTTTCTGAGGGACATGAAAAACCACTGTCACCTCCTGCACACAGGAGAGGCACACAGAGTACACGAGAATGGTGAGAACCCTCAGCCTCCACGCCTTGTCTTCGCCCCGGCCCAGTGCCCTACCTGCTGGAAGAGGCAAGCAAGGACAGAGGGGCGTGTTCGGGGGTTACCCCCAAGAGGCTGAAACTAATCCTTCAAGAAAAACAGCAGCTCCTGTGGACCCAGGATCACTGTGTGCCAGGCACTGTGCCGGGAGCTCGCGTGTCATCCTCTTGACAACCCCGTGAGGTAGGTCATATCATTGTCCCCATTTAACAGATGAGGGAACAGGCTCAAGAGCGAAGTCACATACTTGCCTCAGGTCTCAAAGCTAGGAAGTGATAAGCAATGATGGGGCTCAAATGTCTTCATGGCCTGAGCTCTTGGTTACCCCAGTACCCCAAAATTGCCTCCTTAGAAAACAACAAAAGACGGGTGGGGGTGAAATAACCACAGAGAATACTTTTAGAAGTTTGGAGAAAGCCCAACCACCACAGTGATTATCAAAGTGCCCGACGGGGCGCCAGCCTGACGGCCAGCACACGGCACAGCTGCCCGCGTCTCAGCCGCACCAGAGGTGCAGACTGGTTGCTCTTCACAAGGTCCCAGAATTCAAACTGCTGTCTTGTTTCTCAGGCTTTTGCTTAGGAGGCCCTAGAAATACCTGTTTGGGTCAAAATAAACATGCCAGTCTCCACCCAAATCTTATACACATTCCCTCCTCCTGGAATAGTGGCTGGTGCTCCTGGTGCCAAGCATGCGAGGGTCAGTTCCCCAGGCGCCTGTGGGCTCTGCTACTCCATTGAACCCCAGCCCAGTGCCTCCAGGAGCCAGCCAGTTCCATTCGGAGAGAAGGGAAGATGTTTGTTCTGAAAGTGACAATGAGGAGAGGTAGGTGGCAGAGAAAACAGGAGCTGAGATGAGGGAACACCTGGATTGAGAGCCCCACCCCACCCTTCCCAGGGAGATATTCTCGTTTAGATAACGCTGCATGGGGGCGGGGAAGTGACAGCCTGTTGGCTGGCACACCCTGCTCCCGTGGAGGCCCTAGTAGCTAGTCCACCGGACATTTTTATGGTACCTGTAAAGTGCGATTAGCAAAACCGGTGGGGTGGGGGGCCCACAGCAGTCCGGGAGAGAGGGCTGTGCCATGGGCACAGGGAGTCAAGAGGACAGATGACCCCGGCTTCTCGGACCCGGGGAAGGCTAGCTGCAGCCTGCCCTGCCCAGCGGAAGCGCCCGGAGCTCTCCTTCCAGACTTGCCACACTGGAAGGCCCCCCCCAAACCTCTCCTCCCTCACACCCTCCTGTTCTGTGTCTGCCCTGTCTCTCCGCTGGTGCCCTGGGCCAGGTCCTCAGGCCAGTACTGGTCCTCCATGTACTGCTCCATGTCTGTGCTGCTGTCAGGCTCTCTGTCCTCGGGGTGGGTCCGGAGGCTACGGGCCTGCTGCTCCCACTGCCTCTCCACCAGCCGGTAGAGCTCCATGGCCGTCATGGCGTCCTCCACGGACGAGTGCCCATGCCGGCCCACCTGCGGACGAGAGCCGTGTCAGTGCCCGCAGTCCCGGAGAGAGGCCTGTCACCCCAGGCTCTGTGTACAGGCCCGAGAACATGAACTCCCGGTTAGGGGTGTACGGTTTGGTACAATGGGAAGGGCATGGGTTTTGGTCAGACACAAAAGCGCTGGAATCGCAGCCGCGGCACAAGCCAGCGAGCTTTTCTCAACTGTGAAACAAAGCCTTGCAGAGCAGACGGAGCCGTGACTGTAAGGCACAGCAGGAGCAGGAGTTCCCTGCCGGCCCTGAGAGCCTGGGCCTGCGTGGGGGACAGACCTGGAGAGGTCAGCCTGGAGGCATGTCCACACTGGGGACAAAGGATGCTGGAGAGAAACCCGGGGCAGCATGTGCACATGGGAGAGCTGTGCCTGCTCGAGGTCCCCAGGACTTGGACTGGAGTGGGTTCGGAGGAATGACATGGGGCTGCAGCCATGCCCCATGGCCCGTCTGTGGCCTAAGGACGAGGGTCCCCACGCACCTGGATCCTCTTGTGCAGCAGCTGTAGGGCCAGCTCCTTAAGAGAGACACGCGCCCGGGTGTGGAGGCCGGGCTGGCTGAGGAGGTTGGGGACGGAAGTGGTGTCCCGGGTCTGGCTCCGAGGGTGGACGTACTTGAGGGCCCGGAAGTCGTTGTGCAGGGCATGCCCCACCACCACCTTGCCCTTCAGTAGCTTGAGGATCTGTGAGCAAAGACAGGAGTTAGGAAGGCCTCACGGTCGGGCTGGCGCGGCACAGATCCCTCTGTAGGGAGGCGCGTGTGACCTCCAGCCAACCGCACTGCCGGAGTCTGAATCCAGACCCTTCTACTGACTACTTAAGGGAAGCATGGCCACACTTAAGCTCTCGGAACCTGGAAATCGGGAATGCTGCCAACAAGTCTGCAGGTGGCTGTAAACATCAGAGCTAGTTTGTGGATGGGACAAGGCTCCAATCCTCCAACCGACAACTCTTTCCTGCTGCCCAGCCTCTGCTCTCAGCCTCAAGTCCTTGCCAGCCCTCCCGCCCCCCACCCAACTCTTCCTGCAGTTCCTCTCACGGCAGGTCCCAGCTCACACGTCAGGAGGCCACCCCGGGACATCCCCCGTGGACACGAGAACCCATCTTCTCCTGCACTTTCTCAGCACACATTTACCTCTGGCATGGTCTATCCACCCGCTACTGTCAGCTCCCTGTAAACACGCAGGGACCACGTTTGACATCACTGAGGATGCTCAATGGAAATTCAGCACACAGGAGGCGACCACTGGGTGAAGTCTGCAGAGCTGTGCCTGGCACTGGAGACACACCAGACACCCCCCCCCACCCCACCCCCGGTCCGTCCTCAGGCTTCTGTCTCTGCCCCTCCGCTATGTAGGACCCCACCTCTCAGCCTCTAAACCTGCTGCCTTGCTCAGTCCATCTTACGATGTGCACCTTTCTTCTCTGTCTTCCAGCCTCCTGAGGCCCCACGGAGGCCACGTCCAGTAAAACCTCCAGCCCCTTTTGCTGGGCTTGTCTCTCCTTATCACCAGCTGCTAGCCTCCCACAGCCTGCCTCTGCTGGCAACGTATGTTTATCACTAAAGTCAGCTGTCATAGCAGGTGCAGAAGGTACATTTAGACTTTAGTGGTAGGGCCATGCCACCACTCTAATCACCGCCCCCCAGTCTTCCCACAACCAGCCATTCGGTGGGAACGGATCAAGCACGCCCCACACTGGCCCAGACTCTGGGCAGACGAGTACTTCTGCTCTTGGGGGCACCACCAACCAGGCTGAGGTCAGACTGAGAGCTACGGGTTCACCACAGGCCTCCCTTCCTGCTGCTTCTATTTCTGATCAGCCTGCTTGATAAATAACCTCCAAATCTTTTCAAAGAAATGCTTAGGCCGTACCTTGTGTGAAAAAGGAGGACACCAGATGCTGCATACTAGTATTTCCCCAAATTTATCTAATCCCAAGAGTAACACAGCAAGGTTAAGTAGTTCTGCTCTAACGCTCATTTGGAAAATGCAAAATGTTCCAACATGATTGATACATTAGAACATAATTTGAGAATAACGTGATTTCGCCCCTGAGAGACACTTAGTGAATGCGGAAAAGTGCACTCGGCGGGAATGCATGAAACGCACACCCCCCCAGACACCTACCAGCGAGCTCAATTCACAGCCATCCACACCCGGCATCCCCACTCTCTGTCTGGTTTCAGGTAACAGTCCTTCGACCACTCCACCGTATCACAAGTGGCCACCACCCTCCTGACATCTGCCTCCACAGGAAACTCCAGGTCTTTTTCAAGGTACGGTGCCATCCTTGTTGGTATATTTATGCATTTCTTAACCATTTAACGTGTGCAAAACTGTGCTACCATTGTTATTAGGTTTCCATCTTTTCATTTTTGGGGTGTCACTGATGAGACGTTTTCTTGAGTGTTGTATCCCTAACCCCATTTTCCCCATAAGTTCTTAAGTTTTTATTGTGCAAGTTTGCACAGTGTGAGATTCTTAGGGACGCACACATCAGAGCCCTCCCCGGGTCTAGACACCTACGGGATCAGAATTCCCACGGAGGGATCTGGGGACAAGGACCGAAGATTGTTAATAAAGCTTTCGGTATTTCTTCTGCTCAAGCACGTTTGAGAATTCCTGGCACGTTAGTGTGGTCCCAACCACTAATTAATTTTTTTTTCAAAACACTGAAGAATTAACATAAGGAAATGTACCAAAACATCAACACCGGAAAGTGACAGCACCGTGGGCCTTACAAATTTTACACAGATGTGTGATACTTTTATAACAGAAAATGTGAAATGTATGCTGTGTCACACCTTGCAGTTGGCACAGCCTTTCCACAAACCCGATCATGCATGACACCCCAGCCATCCTTCTATGCAGGAAGGTCAGGATTTTTACTCACCCTTTCTGTGGGAAGAAATCCACTGTTTGGAGACGTTAAGTAACTCTGTCAACGTCTCTCGCTTCCAGTGGCAGTGGTGACTCAAACCCAGGGCTGCTCTTCGCACCCCATCGCGCCAACCCAAACGGGGCCCCGCCCCGCCCCGCCCTCACCTCTTTCTGGGCCACCTGGAAGGGGATGGCTTTGCGCATGTGCTGCCGAGTGATGCCGCTCCAGCGAGTGCGGTAGTCCTCGATGGGCATCTCAGGTCGGACGTACTTGTCGTACAGGACGTCGCCGTGGTAACTCACCACCGAGCAGCGGGCCAGCTCACTCACCCGCCCTCGCGGTCCCGTGCCCACCATCTCGCAGTCGATAGCCACGCACTTGCTGGGCAGGGGCCCAGTGGATTCCCGGGGGGTGGGCTTTCTGCTGCACGGGGCACCTCCCGAGTCAGCCCTTGGACGCTGCCTCCCGCTGCTGGCAGCCTCAGTGCCTGGCGGTGCCTGCAACGGCGTGGGCTGTGGGGAGGCTCCTGGCTCGGGGGGCGCGCTCAGCAGCCCCAGCTCCTGCAGCAAGGCCTTCCGGGCCATGAACCGCTGGTGCTGTCGGCTTTTCCTCTTGTGCTTTCTCCGAAGCACATCCTTGGCATGGGGGCTGGCCAGCAAAGGGCACAGGCACTGGGCAGGCTCACAGGCTTCCCGGGGTACCATCCCAATCTGCTCACCACTTGGGGCAAGGGAGGCCTGCGAGGTGATCTTCCCACGGGGCAGCACCCTGGAGAGAGAACACATGGGGCAGAGGGGCTGGATGAGGAGTGGGCGAGGCAACCTCCTGCTGGGCTGCCCTAGGGCCCGTACTTTGTCTCAGGTTCCTGGACAGAGTGGAGGACCTAGTTTAATAATAACTGCACTCATACAGTCAGTACCACGTGCAAACCGCGGAGATACCGTATTTCCCCATGTATAAGATGCACTTTAATTTTGGGGCCCGAAATTTGGGGGGGGGGGAAATGTATTACCTAAAGTTACTGAACTCAAGTTTTCTTCATCATAAAATTCATACAACTCCTCATCACTGTCAAAACTCCCCATCCATTAGCTTGTCCTCATCTGTGTCTGATGACGAATCAGTCTTCATAGATTGCCTCGTCCTCAGTTCCATCTATGGCATTTGAAATCTACAACCACTGTGTAAGACGCACCCAGTTTTTAGAGCCCAAATTTTTTCAAAAAAAGGTGCGTCTTATACATGAGGAAATACGGTAAAGTCCTTTACATGGACTCACTCAACCTTCCCAACAACCAGAATAAGGCATCCTCATATTACAGGTAAGAAAACGGGGGCAAAGATATTAAGTAACTTGCCCAATTAACAAGAGGCAAAAGCTGATATGAGCCCAGAACCCTGCTCTCTGTCAGACTGTGTGTGAGGACTACAGAGCTGGAGGTGACTATGAACTCAGGGAACTCATGGTTTGGTGGAGAGTGAGAGGGAGCCAGGAACGTGCAAGTGTGTGCTAAGGATGGGAGCAGTGAACTAAGGACAGGTGCCTGACTTACCGGGCCAGGTACTGGAACAGGGAGATATGCTAGGTTAGGAAAGGCCTGGTTAGGAAAGGAGGAGACACTTTAAAGGGTTTCAGGAAGGTCTGCCTTAGAGCCCAGGAAGGGAAGGGCACCCACACCGAGAAAAGGCAGACACAAAAAGCCCAGACGGAAAGCACATCGTTGTAGGAGCGCAAGGAGCCTGGTGCAGCGACGAACTGTGAAAAGCAAGGAGGTAGGAGTGAGAAAGGTGGACAGTGAGAAAGAACCGTTCCTGGAGGGCAGCAGAAGTTTGGGCTTAATCCAGACATGAACTGGGAACCATCAATCTCCCTAGAGAGCTTTAGGGAGAGGGCGGCAGGATCAGAGTCTGAGCAACGGCGGCAAAGATGAAGAGAAATGGGAGGAAGCGGGGAGGACAAGTGCCATGGACCAGGGCCAGGCAGTGACCCATCCTGACTCACCCTCCCCCTGCTTGCTTATCCCTTCCCAGAGAAGACGTCTCCCTGCTAAAAGGGCCTTAATTATATAATCTACTTAATCATACTGACAAGTCATATATTAGCCAACAAATACAGAACCTCGCTCTGTGTGCCTCAGCCCAGCGATGGCGACAAAGCCCAAGGAGCCTGCGACTGACCTCTGTCCCAGGAGGAGGGAGGGCCCTGTCCCGTCTCCAAGAGGGCTGAGGGCCACGCAGGTCAGCGGAGGCAGCAGGGACCAGGGTCGGTGGCCTCCCTGACCCTGCTGGCATGGTGTCCCAGAAGCCAGAAATAGGCTCCCGGAGAAAAGGTCTCAGTGGCCTTGTGTTTCAAGAGATGAGAGAAATGCCCTTCCACGGATGCCCCGACCTTGCGGACGTTGTCAAAACCAACAATGACGTATCAAGGGAACCCCTTCCTCATCCTGGGCCTCCAGGTGAGCTCAGTGAGGCTGCGAAGTGTCACTCAAGTAACGCAACTATTACAGTTAAGGACACACACAGATCTCTCTCGGGCCCGAAACCTGTGTTTTGGGGATCAGCGGCCACCAGGCCTTCCCCGCCGGGGCCCTGGCCTAAGGCAAGGTCCCCCAGCAGCAGTCCTCAGAGCAATGGCCCCCCACAAAATCATAATCGCCAGTGCCATCAGGGCTACCAAGCTGCCGGCTGGTCAGTGGGCAGCACGAGGCCCTGCTCTGGCACCAAATAACCAGATCAACTGGACCAGGTCGCCGGTCTCCTCACCATAAAACGAGGGTTTATTAAACAAGAGAGTTGAACTACGTTTAGGGGCTTCCCCCAAAGCAGTTCGTCACCAGAGACAATGAAGACATCGGTTTAAAACGCCAGGTTTTCGGGCCTCACCCCCACACCGTAACTGCCGTTTGGGGGAAGGGGGCCTGAAAATCTGTTTATTTTCAGAGAGCGCGCGACACCCCCCTCCCCCAAGCCATGACACTAATAATCGCCCGAATTAGAGAGAACCTGGATGGCTGGATAAGATCCCCCCCGTGCTACTAAAGAAAAGTTCGCGGGACAACCAAGTCCGGGGAGAGTCCCGCACGGTCCCCGCCGCCGTCCTCCCGGGAGGGACGCGTGGGAGGCCTGCCTGACCGCACCCAGGGAAGGACTCAGGCTCTGGTCACTCACTGGCTGCGGCGGTTCCGCCGGCGCCCGCCAGGCCGAGTCCCATCGCCCATCGCCGTCCCCTTAGGCCCGAGACCCCCGAGCAGGGCGGGGACGTGGGACTGGCCGCGCCCTGGGCCCGGCCTACACGCCAGCGGACCAGGCGAGCCGGTCGGCCGGGTCCGGGCGTCCCCCGCCGCAGGCCGGGGTTGGGGACACATGCGGGACCCCGCGCGAGGGGACATGCCGCGCCAGCCCGCTCGACCCCTATACCCCCCACAAGGGTCGCAGCGATCACCTGGAGCTCGGGCGCGAGTCCTCCCGCCCGCACGTGGCGTCCAGGAAGCCTGCAGTTCTCACATGCCCGGGCAAGCCCCGCTCTGGCTGCCCGCCTATTGGTTCGCTGAACGGCAGTGCCGGCCCAAATCCTCTTCTGATTGGTTCTCTGGAGGAGCCTGGCTGGCTGCGGGTAGGCGCGCGGCAGAAGGGGCGGGAATTCCTAAAGGGGCGTGGTTTGCGTTTCCAGTTGGTCAAGCCCGCGGGAAATTTTAAAGAGACCGGAGCGGAGCTTGGCCTGTCGCCCGGGTCGCGCTCCCATCTGGGTCCCAGTCTCCAATGCATCCCGCTCCCTGGGTCGGGATGTGGGCTCCTATAAAACCCGTGCCTCCAAAGGCAGAATGACAGAGTACACGCCCACAGTTGCAGAATGTTAATCATAACCCCTTTCTCCTCGGGTGTCTTGGCCATTCAGTGAAATAATATATATAATGGGCACTAAAGAAAGATTTTTAAACTCAGGTTTGCTCCTATTTTAGTTTGCACTATTTTTTTTTTAACTTATCGTTTTGCAATACTTTACTCATTAGTATTAAGTTCCTCCTATGGGCTGGGCACTGGGATACAGAAGCAGTTCAGTCCCTGACTAGTTGCTCACGGTGGGGCGCAGTTACTGGAAGGTTAGCAGGTAATTCAGTGCATCGTGAATAACAACAAGAACAATAATAAACGGTCCAAATTTATTATGAGCAATGACTGTGTGCCAAGCAATACACACATGCAATCTGCACAAGCACCTATGAGATAAATGTGCTATTTCTAGTTTACCGCTAAGGAAATTGTCGCCTAAAGAAATTAAGGAGAAACAGCTAGAGTCTCAACTAAGACCCTTACTGAAGCAGTTCGACTCCTCCTAGCTCCATTTGCAAGCAGAAATGGTATTGCAAAGGTGTCCAGAAGGGTAGGGGGACGTGTTGAAGAACCCACTATTTCTGATTATTGTACGGATGTGAGAGAAGCGGGCAAAGGATAAGGCCACTAGAGAGGTAAATCCTTCTCCTCAGACTCCCAAGGCTTTGTGGAGCTGGGAGTTTAAGCCAGAGCTGGTTCACTAGCGATTCGCATTTGGGGAAACTCACTCTGGCTGAGTGATGAGAGGAATGGATTAGGCCTGGGGAAAGAGGGGTTGGTGGGTGGGTGACTGTGGACATCCAGGCAAGAGAAGATCCTGGTGGGCAGAGCAGTAGAGAGGACGAAGAGCTAGGGACAGAGTTCAGAGCTTCTTAGGAGGCGACACGGATAGGACAGAGGGAGAGGGTGACAGGGAAGGGATGTTGAGCATCTGTCTTCAGACGTGGAGCGGTAAATCTGGGGCAAGGAGACTTTTAAAGGAATCAGTATCCTGATCCCCAACTCCCACAGGACTGGACCTGAGAATGTGCTTGGAGTCCTTGGGGTTCAGCTTCCCTTTCCCCTTTTAGAACCAGCTGTCTCCCACTTTCCAAAGGAAAGTCGCACACACAGCCCATTCCGAAGCTTGCTCTGCTGCATTCATTATCCTGGGAAATAAAAGTGGTCTCCAGGGAGGCAAAACAATAAGGCAGTTCTAAATATGGGTTTTAATTGAGGACCCTTTTGTAAGATCCCTTCTACCAGGCAGGTGGTTTCTGATTCTTTGTTTTCACTACAGTCCAAGGAGGATTTAATCATGTTGTCACCTAATGGTCATTAAAATATTGTTTTTCTGAGGATAGATAACTATCAGAAATTAAAAGGACTGAGAGACAGTGTCAGAATAACCCTCCTTCCACTTTTGCTTTTTATGCGAACAATGTTCATCAGTGCGTCCTTCCAAAGGAACAAAATAGAAAGCCCAACTCAGTGTCATTCTTGCAATAAGTAATAGTCATCCCTGGATTTATAAACTTCATGGGAAGAGAACTGACTCAATCGATCTCCTCAGTATATATTTTCAATGGCATTTCTAATGAATATATACTTTTTACGTTTCAACGTGATTGCTCATCTAAGGCAATGCTGTATATAGTATCTGTTATCTGATCACAGGTGCTACAAATACTTGCAACAAAATCTCAATCCAGAAGGAAAATAATGAACACTTAGAACCCGGTGTCTGTGGGGCAGGCCCCCTGCCTGGGTCTGTTCCCACTGTGGCCATGTGGGATAGTGCCCTTTGCCCTCTATTGTGTAGACAGAGCCAATAGGCAGTGGGCCCTGAGTGAGGTTTGGATTACTTCCCACCCCAGTTTCAGGTCTTCTGCAGTGGGTCTCAGGTGTAGCCACACAGCAGTCCCTGGGGCTGAGGTTTTCTCCTTTAGGGAACCTGAAGGATGCAACCATTAGCTGAGCTCACTTGCCTCTACCACTTGCTAGCTGTGTGACCTTGGGCCAGGCACTTAACCTCTCTGAACCAAATCAGCCCTTTGCTCCCACACAGAGGCTGCTGCTGTCACTGCTCAGCTGCTCCTTCAGCGCCTCTAAACTGGATTACAACTTCCAATCCCATTTAGGATTATAAGATGCTTTGGTGTTCTAAAGCAAAGACTTTCCCAGCCTCTTCTGCCTCTGGATGCTGCTGACCAACCCTTCCCTTCTCTGGGGACCCTGGGGTGCCTTGTGCCTCCTGTGAGGGTGGAAAAGGAGGGTGGGGATATATTGTATTTAGAAAGCACTAAGGAGGGCATCTGAGTTTGTTGCTTGAAAAATGTATCCCCATTGAGGGTCACATCATTAGGACTTGATGACTGCGTTAGGCGAGGTGTCCCCCATTTCTTAGGTTTGCAGAAAGGCTGGGAAATGATGTTTCTGATCACTGCTTCTGCCACAGTGGGGGGCGGCTTTTCACTGGAGAAGAGGGGCCTGGATGAGCAGGAGGGGGACAGGAGAGAAGGGGAGTCAGATCCCTCCCAGGCAGCCCTCAGCATTCAGGGCTGCTGTGCAGACAGAAGGGGGAGAGAGCCTGCCTCAGGGAAACATCTGGGCAGGGAAGTGGGGTTCACTCCTGATTTGAGAGATGGATGCGAGACCATGTTGATAGGTAGCAGGGTGTGAAACAGAGGGAGCTGGGCACTCCCTCGGGGGTAGATGTGGGGTGCGAGTCCTGGCTTTCAAGTCCTGGCTCTACTACCTACTGGCTGTGTGACGTTGAGTCAGTTGCTTAACATCTCTGAGCCTCAGATTCCTGGCTTGTAAAGTGGACTTGATCACATCGAACATGCTGGGTTGTTACGATAACCAAGCGAGAGAAGAGTCATAATACAGAACAGCACAGATTAATACCCAATAGGTGTCTCTTTGCCTCCTCTGTCATGGTTTTTCTCTCCCCTCATGTGGGACATCCACGGGACCCCTTCCATGAAAGAGGAACGCATGAGGACCTCCATCTCTACTAGTGTCCCCTAAAATGTAAGAGTTTTATCCCATTTGAAAGTGTATCCTTCCCCTACCCACATCAGCATCTCGTCCACTTCACAGAGCTCAATATATATGAAAAGAATGAATATAGGCCAAGCCCCTCCCCACCACCCATTTTAAAAATGCAGAAACCAAGGCTTGGAGAGGTTGTGAAGCTTACTACTTCTTAAGGTAACTTTGCAGGCGTCTCAGAACATGAAAGGGTTGGTGAACCAAGGGCCAGAACCTCTGGGTCCCCTTACCTTAACTCCAGGGCCAGTGTTTACACAGCCAGCAGCCAGGTTTCCCACGCTCGCATCTGGTTCCTTGAATAATCAGGGAGGCAGTGTCATCCTGTGGATTTTCTAGAGAACAGCCAGTAAAGGGTCCGGTGCTCTGATTAACAAAGAGGCAGCACCATCAGGTGGATTTTACAGGTAGTTGTGCTTTAGCAGCAGATAATGTTGGTATCAAATTGCTATGATATGTAGGTTCCATTGCATTCATTTAAGGACACTTTTTTAAAAGATGTCAAACACTACAATACATCCTTTGTAACTACTTAGACTTATAAAAATGTTATCAAGCTGGGCTGGCCAGGTGGCTCAGTTGGTTAAGAGTTGGCTTAAGAGCACGAGCTCTGAGCAACAAGGCTGCCAGTTTGATTCCCACATGGGCCAGTGACGCTGCGCCCAGCTGAGCTGTTGCTGAGCTGCCAACAGGTGGCAGGATGGCTCAGCTGGTGTAACAACAAGATTGCCTGTTCCATGGTGGGCTATGCCCGCCTGCAACTAAGACTGAACCCAGATGGCTCAGTGGATAGAGCGTGCGCTCTTAACAACAAAGCTGCTGGTTCGACTCCCACATGGGATGGTGGCTACACCCACCCGCATCTAAGATTGAACACAGCACCTTGGGCTTAGAGGCCACGAGCTGCCGACGGGAAGCCAGATGGCGACTGGCACCCTGCAAAATGAAGACTGAAGAACAACTTGGCTGGCCCCCTTCCCCAATTCCCCAACACTGTTGCCCTCCCCCAATTCCCCCATAAAATCTTTAAATATATATATATATATATTATCAAACAAAAAAACCTATACAATACTGGCATCTTGACTGGATGGTAGCATCGCCAACCCCACCTTTAGGGACTTCACCCTCCCATTTCTGGGGCAAAAATATCTCCTTCTCCACAAAGACTGGTGCTGGTATGTAACAGAACTCCTCTGAGTTGGGGCTTGGTGGGAGAAAGCCCATAACCCAAGCCCTGCCCCTATCGATCCCACCTTCTCCCCTCTACCTTATCAATAAGGAAGCATTTGAGACATAGGACTTGATCTGTTTTGCGCTTACAAGTCATTATTGTCACAGTCAAAGCGCCATTCTGCCTGCCTTGTGTACCTGTGTTGAGGACCGTTGGGGGTACTGTAGGACCAGGTGCAGAGCAGAAGTGGGGTCGATCTGGTCATTTTTTAGAGCAGTGGTTCTCTTAAGTGTGGGCCCAGACCGGCAGCCCAGGCACCTCCTGGGCATTGGTTGGACCTACGGACTCAGAAATCCAGGGGGTGGGGCCCAGCGATCTGTTTGAATGAGCTGATTGACAGCTTCCAGATGCAGGCTCAAGTTTAAGGTTCCTTGTTTAGAGGATTTAGAAGTTGACAGCATTCTGGGAGCCAAATGCAAATAGTTCACTCATTTTATTCAAGCAGATTCCTCTATTAGCACTCTTCATCCAACAGTGGCTTTGGACTTACCTGGACACGGCCTGTCCCCAAGACGCTTATGGTACCTGTATACCTTCTCTCAACTTCTGAGGATTTTTACAGGGATCTTAGATCCAGGTTACATCTCACATGACCAAATTTTTTAATGCAATATCGGAGGGATTTGATCTAGGGAAATTTTATTATCCACTCTTACTTGTTTCATGCTAGACTAGTTCCTTCACACATAAAATGAACCCTCAAATCAGTGATTCAATCTCAGTTGAACACTGGAATTCCCTGAGGAGCGTTAACAAATACTGACACTTGGGTCACACCGCAAAATTCTGAGTTAACTGGTCTGGAACGAGGCCTGAACATGGAGTTTTTATTTTTCACAGTAGGAATTTTATTGTTTTTTTATGTTAACAAACTGTTAGGATGTTCATGGATTAAAAAAGTTTTTTTCAATTACAGTTGACCTTGAACATGGAGATTTTTCAAAAATCACACTCATTAGGTGACTATTTTGCAGCGAAGATAAAAAAAAAAAAAAAAGATCTCCGGTACACTGCAGTTACATAGAAAATCCACCAGATGGCGGTGCCTCCCTACTAATCGGAGCACTGGTCGCTTGACTGTTGGCTGTTCTGTAGAAAATCCACCAGATGGCGGTGCCGCCTTACTAATCGGAGCACTGG